TATAAAGATAATGTTTTAATCATGTATCGCGACAACAGTGCTTAACAGAAGTCATTAGTTTTGGGAAAATGTTAAAAAAGTTGGTGAAAACACAATTTACATTTTCCTTTTCCAACTTGTAGGGAAATGCCTGACCATTTCGGATGGAATTCCAGGTGTCAATCTTAACCTAGAAACTAGTAAATGTACACTGATCGCACAAGACACATCTGACCTGGTTTGAACACCTGAGCATACAGCATGCAAATAAAGAAGACTTGTTAGTGAGTGAGCAGTTTTGCTCAATCAAATTGAGCAGTGGTATAAAACCTACAGGTTTTAAACAAATGTTTGCAAAGCTACATGTGACTCAAGTGATAATAAATCTGTAATATTAAAGAAAACGTGAATGTGTAAATCTGACATGCTGTGTTCAGTCCAGCATGACCATGAGATCTATCTGTGAGCATGATTGATGAGGTTTGTGCTGGGCGCCCTTTTTGTAGTTTATGTGATGATATTCTAATCCACCCATTAATTATAATTAATTCCTAACCTCTGCCACAGATCACACAGACAGACAGACAGACAGACAGACAGACAGACAGCTGCTGCAGGACGCCCCCCTGGCGCTGCTCCGTTTTGATTTTCTTCGTTCGCTTTCTGGGTGACTAAACTTAAATCTGCATCTATTAGGATCTTTCATCTGTGTCAGAGGTTCATTATAATCAGAAGGTCATACCCTTTCCTCATTCACTTTGTATATTGGACATTTTACACACACCTTCTTATACAGCATAGACATTTTTTGACATGCATGGTAGGAAAAACACACATGAAAAAGCTCACATCACATTCTTGTTATTATATTTCTCAACACTGAGATGTAGTTAACTTATTTTACATACTATTTAAAAACACAGTATTAAACCAATTGAATGTTAATTAGAATGGCTTCAGTGGTGAATAGGTATAGTTTTGTATGGTATTCATGGGATTTCTTGGAACTACTCTTTGCAAAATTATAACACGTGTATTGGGCTATGAGATTGTCTTAAACCAATGAAATGCTGTTGGGTTTCGATGGTCATGCTTTTCCATCAAATGAAACCATTTGGATGGTCCAATGTGTTTCACTGCAGCTGAATTATGTGACCCTTTCCGTTTTTGAATATTTCTACTTTTGCTTTTTAGAATGGAGAACACAATACGGAATATTATGATCATGGCGACTATACTTTGAAATCCATATGGTGATCTTTATGTCACAAAAAAACGAATCATCTGACATACTGTATATTTAGACAACAAGGAGACATTTGCAAAAAGAAATTAGAGGTGGAGAATATAAAAAGGTGGAAATTGAGGAAAGAACAGAATTGATTCCTGAAGAAAGAAAAGAGAAAGGTAACGCAAGTCATTTCCAGAATGTGTCGATGGAGAGATTAACCATGAACTGCTCTGACATTTTAAGCCTTTCTCAAAAAGTATTGAAGCTTCCTGGATGACATTTACGTGATGCCATTTTGTTCCTTTGGCTCTATCCAGAGAGCAGACCTGGGATGGTCAGATTTCCTCAGGTCACAATGTCAACAACAATGCTTTCACACTCAGACATATACTCACATGGAAAGAATGATCTGCTTCTGCATTCTGGGCTCATCCTTTTTATCTTTATTTTTGTGGATTTCAGAGTTTGTGTCATTAAACAGCCTGTAGAGACAGAACGGAAACCACAGAACAGCCCCAACTGAACACGAGTCTTAAAAATGAAAGAGAAGAGATTACTGTCAAAGAGAAGGGAAAGTTTGGGGTTCCCTGCTGAAACTGCTACCCCTGCGACCCGACCACGGATAAGCGGGAGAGGATGCACGGATGAATGGAAAAATATGTAATCAGCTAAAAGCACGGCCTCACAGTGTCCGTCTCTCCTTTGCACTTTTTTGAATATTTATTTTCATCTGCATTGCTCTCAATTTCTTGATTGATGCTACAAAGGCAAGACGCTACTTTCCTGATTAAAAGGCAGACATGCACTGAAGGATGCTTCAAGAAGTTTAAATTGCATTTTCACTTAGATGTACAGAAAAATGAAATCAGAGGCAATCAGGAATACAAAGCTCTGACGGGCGACAAAACCTCCTTGTCAAATATAATGATTGCCAATATCAAAGCGAGCACTCTTGCTTGATACATGTTGTCTGATGAACCTCTGTACTGTTGGTTTGGACATAAAACATCTTCAGTTCATAAGAAGTTAAGACTACTGTATATCTTTTTTGTAAAACTATTCTTTCCATGGTCAACAAAATAAAGCTTTACGCTCAGTTTTCAGGGGTTTGAACTGAACTTAAATTACTTCAACTTCAATGACCTTTTTCACCTTTTTCACTTTGATTCTTAACTTCAAAACAATAAGAACAGTGTCTACTTAAAATTACTTAAATCATCTTCACTTTATATTATTTCAGTAAAAAGTTCAGATGCTTTAAGCCGAATATGTAAAGTTAAATGTTTTGCCCTGTGGTTTTGTGAGATGTGTCTTTGATCAATCAAGTCTCTGATACATCTCCATCGAGTGCTGAATGAGCTACACATGACGTGCGTGTTAAATAGCTTCATCACTTAGAAAAGGATCAAATGTGAAACTAGTCAGGCATTCAGGGTGCTTTGTTAATGTATGACGCTAATGAGTCTACACAAAAACTCTCTCTGTCCTTTTCTCTTTGGCTATCTTTCAGTTTGTATTTGACCTTTGTTAGAGGTGCTTGGGGGAAGGGAAACACTAGGGGCCTGTAATAAAGACATTATGCACCAAAGAATGGAAATGAGTGAATAACATTTTGAGTCAATGCAGTAAATATGCAGGACGTCACAATAGTTGACTGTCTATCATCCTCACAGCCAGCAGCAGAGACCATTCCTGCAGCTTCCCCGAGATAACAGAGTTTCAGTGGCAGTGAAGGAATGACAGCTCTGCAGCTGATTCATATCAACTGATTTTAAACGTACGCCAGAGGTCACCTAAAGTCAAACTCTTTATTATTATTGTAAATTATGCAAGCTGCATGTTAGAATCAAAGTATAGCTTGATTGTTTTTTATCATTACTTTTCAATGTCTTTGTAATACAAAGCTGATTTTCTTTTCTTTTTTTTTTAAAGGATTTCAACACCATACTGACAACGTAAGGTACTAAATATGATAAATATCTGTTTAACAACTGTAATAAAGTCACACTGAAATTCTTCATTTTTGGTTCGTATTTTGCAGGTGTTTACATTATAGTCGTTAACAGTGAAGTGTAAACACGCAGGACACACTGTCAGGATGTGCACCATATTCACAAGAGTCCCAGTTGTGAGCATATCATCTATACACTCTTTTCACTTGTTTTCTATTTGACTACATTACATTTCATATTTGAATGTATAGGCTAACAGCTGAGGATCTAACCAGATGCTAAAACCCTTTATTTCTGTGGGGGAAAAGCATTTAAATATATATTAATATTCAGCTGGACTTTCAGAGATAGTTGGAGGTGTGAGCTCTGTGCTGGTGGAAGCATCTGGCATGTCAAGTTTACATGATGGCCGAGCTTGTGTGTGTGTGTGTGTGTGTGTGTGTGTGTGTGTGTGTGTGTGTGTGTGTGTGTGTGTGTGTGTGTGTGTGTTTTGGGGCCCCCATGTTATTGTCTGACACACTGAAACAGAGGACTTTAATCCTCACGTCTAAGCTAACAATACCATGAATGGTATCTCTGGTATTTTTCAAAAGGCTGGCAGGACACAAAGGAAACAGCTAATAGGGAGAAAAAAAAACTTTTTTACATTGCATTGAATTTTTGTAAGAAAACGTTCTTAAATGTAAATGAGTACAATTTAACATATTTTAGGTTGAAATATAATCCTCAACCCTGCATATATAATGACGCTAATTGTTACAACCTAGAGTAAGATATGGATACTGTTTGAGAAGAGCATTTGTTTGGATGACATCATTTTTGTGTACTTAATTTGTCTGGGTACAGCTCTGACAGAAGCAATTATAATTCATAATTCTAACTTGGCTGCATTGGCTTTTAAACGTGTCAAATGTAAGTGCAGCAGTCATTTATATCATAAAGGCAAGTGTGTTTTGTGATTTTTATTCACCTTATATCTTGAAAACCTTCATATCTGCTTCCATCTCCTGGTCAGCCACTGAAACTGCAAATCTAGTAAGTGGTTTTATTTTCCTGAAAGAATTCCTGTTTTTTAAATGTTCACATTAAAAACTGTTCAGTGAATATCCATAAAAACATATTTTACCTGTTTAAAACCTCTGTTGAAAAGACTTTGAGATGTTATATCAGATACTTTGTCGAAAATGATCAACCCTTTTCATTGAGTTTCAGTGTTAGGTTTCATGGCCAGTGGGGGGCAGCACAGCTCCATCCTGCAGAGGGTCCATTGTGTGCCTGAGTTTCTGTCTGCAGTCTGTGTTGCCATGTCCGTTTTTATTATTATTTTCAATGGGGTTTCTTGGTATTAATGCCATATTTAGCAAATGTTTCTATTGAAACACAATGTCCGCTTTACTATTCAGCTCTGCAAAAAGCTCATAAAGCCGCCCACACTAATCAATACAAATTAACATATAAATACACAATGTCAATCTTTCAGTGGTTTTACATGTTAAAAATCCATGAATTGAATTATTAGATGTCGCCTTATAGTAGCTTATACTTCAATAATATAGAGTTGATTAAATTAAAACATGTGGTCCAAGTTGCTTTCCATAGGCCTGCCCTAGAGATTTTAGGCTATTAAGTGGAAACCTAATATTCAATGTCAAATCTGATTCTCCCCAGCTGAATTATTTTAACAAGATTTATTTAAAAATATAAGACAATGTTTTGAGATCTTTAAACCCATATTATTTTAAAGAGGATGAGTGTCTTGACTGACACAACTTTGATTTAGGAATGAGATTGCTGGTTTATCGCCACACCTGGCAACCCAGCCCGCAGCCCGTCTGGAGGTTTTCTGTAACCGCAGAAATGTTTAAAACAGAGAAATTAAAAGCTTTGGTCAATGAGAGACTTAAAGCTGCAGCTGAGGAAATATTCAGCATCTTTGAAACAACTATTAAAGACTATGAGGAGAATGTTTGGTGTTCAAAACAGGAGATCGAGCAACAAAGAAGAAGCCTGGCCGGATGTAAAGGTGAGTGACACTCAGGTGAACTTTGACCTTTAGACAGCTTTAAAACTGAGGGACCTTACTTCTGTTTAAATCAGAGTTACCATTGTTCAAATTTAACAGACCCTGTAATCTTATGGGCCACCCCCTAAATATGGGTCACACAGTAAATAGCGCCATTTTGCATCCCTGAGGGGGAGGGGATGCATAATGGCTGTTACTGGCAACATGTGCCAGTGTGTGTTTGTTGTTGGTACCTTGAAACAAAACGTGGGTCTATTTCATTTTCATTTCATTATCATGTATTATTCTTAATACCATTACAAAATAAATATGTATCAGCAACTTTTCCTCCTTCCTTCTCTTTCTCCCATGATCTCTTATCCTCCTTCTCTTTCTGTATGATTGCTGTTGGGTGAATGGGTGCAATTATTGATCCCAATTTGGGAAGTGTTTGTGTTGCAGCAGCATAAAAAGACATGGCACTGTACAATACAAATAAAATAAATAAAAACAAGAAAGTAGAAAATATACATGTTGAATTTACAAATTAACAATAACAAGATATAAAGGTGTTATATATATGTATATATATATATATATATAAGTATGTGACAGATAGAATATTAAACTGGATATATAAATGTAAAATGTACAGAGAGTTCTCTGCCAGCCCGAGGTGATTTGATGTACAGCGTTATAAACTCCTATTGTAGACACTTTGAAGAGCAGGTTCACAGAGAGCAGATCACAGAGGCTCTAGTCCTGTGCTGGAGGAGACGGGCCATGTCGGCTGCTCATTGCTCATAGAAGCTGGCCAAGAGTGTTCAGGAAGGCTGGGTGAAATGCCTGTGTTTGAGCATTCTCCTCTCTTCTCAAGGCCCTCGCCCGGGCAGCATCCTCTAAGAACAGCTGCATGTGCCGTTCCTGCTGGGCCAGGTTCAGCTCTTGCTGGGCCAGATCTGAGGTGTGCATCTCCCTCAGGACTGTGAGGTGCTCCTCTCCTCGTTTCCTCTTGCCTGGATGACAATAAGATAAGATAATTCAGGTGTTATAGCAGCAACATTAATAAGAATGAAAAAGACAGGACAGGTACAGGTCACACAAGGATATAAGAATAAAATGTATAAACAGAACAACATTAAGGATGAACTAAAGACAGTTCTGGCCCTAGATGATTACAATGATTGTGAAAGTGAATTACATTATGTCCAGCCTGTTGATAATGAATATAAATATATGTATAAATAGGATGTCACACACAATTGTACTAGCTGCAACATTTATAGTGATTCTTGCTACTTTTACTCATACGTTACTTTACTTGTAACAGAGTATTTCCAGTCGTTTTTTTCTTCTTACCTAGAACCACATACGGCGTGCTTTTTTTGCCATTTCTGTAGCTCTGTAAATACTGTTCTGTAAATACTGTAGCTCCTCTGTTTCAAAAATGGTGCTTGATATATGCCACGCTTGGGGATTATCTCGCGCAACAATTGTGACGATTCTCTCTGACCAATCAGCAGTCAAGAGTGTTTACGTCACTAGTTTAGCATATTTTAAACTCGCTTGGATCCTCGACTGAGGAGGGCCAAAATAAAGTAAAAAAGTACCCGTGAGCCGGTACTACCCCTAGTAGAAAAGCAAAAAAGACCGACCCGGACCGGACCAAACCGCACCAAAACCTGCAGTGGAAAAGCGCCATTTGACTTGTCACCTGATAATACCATCTCTTACCCCTCTCTTTTCTCAGGCAGTTTAGAAAAGGGATATCTTTATTAAAAGGTAGTGCTGTCCTGAGCAGGCATGGAAGAAGTACTTCCTGCCTTCAAACTCCTACACAGGTAAAAACTAATAGGTGGCCTTTTGATAGTTCAAAACCCTATCATATTCAGTTTTATATATATACAAAGAAACAGGAAATGAATGAAGGGCTAAAAAAAAGCCAAGCATTTTCTGCCATATTTTTGGGAAAAATCACTTAAATGATTAATTGATTATCTTATTAGTTGTTGATTATGTTTCTGTCCATCATCCAGTCAAGTAGTAGAGTAGGTTTTTTTTTTTAAAAGGTAAAGCATTATTGCACATGTTGTAGTGTTGTGAAAATAAGGCTGCACTAATATGGTTGCTGTTACCATGTTTTCAGACTTAATAATGACATCAAAAAGCAACATTCTTATAGGCTGCTGAAAATCATGTTCATGTACCTCTCTGTTAAAAACAAAAAACCGAAATATTCAATAATCTACTTATTTTCTGTGTTCCCTTTCAGCCCCCCTGCAGCCCTCTGTCCAGGTAAAATACGCTCCCTCAGAGCAGGATCTCTGTGAGAGAAAGATTGACCAGGGTGAGGATGACCAGGAGCCCCTGGAGATCAAAGAGGAGCAGGAGGAGAACCTGAGGTCTGCTCCGGCAGGTGAAAAGCAGCAAAAGGAAGCTGATGCAAAAGCAACAGCGTTCAATATAGTTCATGTGCAAAGCAATGAGGAAGATGGAATTCAGTTCCCACACCAAAACAAAGAAATGGATAATAAAGAAGACAATTTGCCCGGCAGCAGCTCATGTAAACAGGTCAAGAAATCAAAAGCTGAGAAAGAAGACTGTGGTTTATCAGCCAGTGATGTTAACATGAGTGAAACTAGTGAGAATGAATGGAGAGATGGTGGAGGTGTCATCATGAAGGATCCTCAGCACGAGACAGCAGAGAGGCCGTACACCTGCAGCGTTTGCAACAAGACCTTTAGTATTAAATCCATTCTGACTCGCCACATGAAGACACACACAGGAGAGAAACCTTACAGTTGCGGTGTGTGTGGTAAAAGCTTCATCCAGCGCTCTTCCCTTCAGACTCACATGAACTCTCACTCCGGACAGAAGCCGCACACATGCCGTTTCTGTGGCCGAGGGTTCACACAAGTGGGAAACATGAACGCCCACATACGAATCCACACGGGAGAAAAACCTCACAGCTGCACCGACTGTGGTAAAAGTTTTAGAGAGAAGGCAGATCTCATCAAGCACACCATAATTCACACTGGTGAGAAACCTTACACTTGCACTGTTTGTGATATGAAATTCAGTGCTCAGTCTAATCTCACACGACACATGAAGACACATTCAGGGGAAAGGCCGTTTAGCTGCACCGCTTGTGGGAAAAGTTTCATTCGGCGATCCCATTTACTTATTCATATGAAGACACACACAGGAGAGAATATCTAGACGTACTCCATGGTATTTATTTGAGGGAAGGAAATGGATAAGATAAAAACTCACACCATTTTATCCACGTTGTTCCTAATGTGTTGTACTGTAGGATCATGGACTACTAATTATGGAAAAATTAATATAAATGGTCTCATGAAGAAAAATAATTTGTGTTCAGCGCACTTATTTCTCAAACCTCTTTTTGTTAAACTTGTCAAACAAGGTAAAAAGAAGAAGGAAGGAAGTCGGCATTTTAACTGACCTCAAAATGTAATAATGTTGTCTATATTGCCCTAAAGTGTGTTTGTAAATGTTGTATATTTTTTTAATTAAAACAAACAATACTTTTCTCAAACAATTTCAGATTGTCCAATCCCTGATCTGAATTATTTCTAGGGTTAGTTGCGTTGCGCAGTTCAATAAAATAGTGCAAGTAACGCAATGGTGCAAGTAAAATCTAGGAATAAATAAACGATATATGGATAAGATAGACTGTAAAATTAAAAAGTGTACAAAAGAATAAAGGGCTCTTTATTGTATGAACATGTAATTAAAAAAGTGTCCTATACACAGATGAGTATTGCAGTGTTATAAATCAATGCACTAAGCAGAGCTCAGGAGTTGAACAGTCTTATGGCCTGCATGATTAAACTGTCCCTGAGTCTAATCATTGTTTTCCAAAGATAAGAGCACAGGAGGGTGGGACTAATGATCAACTACCTCATAAACTCTGACTGCAACAGCCTTTTTAAAGTCCATATTAAAGACAAACAATGGAATATCAACCAGAACTGTGGAACCTGATCTGGAAAATAAGTTGACCTACCTACAGCACATGAGGTAATACTATACTTTATATACATACCATATACCACATACTCAAATACCTGCCTGAGGAAATAGGGTTTTAAACGCTGCACATTAAAAATAAACAGTACAATACGTATTTTTATGGAGATGCATTATCTTCCAAAAGCCTATTATGCTACAGTAGCATTACTTTGCCAAACGTATGATGCAATACAGGTTGTTAATAGAAAAGGTTTGCAGAAAGGAGCATGTTATCATGTTAATTAACTCTAATTTATAAAGGCACATTAGCTATTAGTTGAAAGTCCGATATTAAAAAAATATGAAAACTATTTGCCTCAATTAAAGATTTTATGGAATTCCCAGTTTGTTTCCTGGAACAAAGTCTTCACTAATAGGAGTTTTGCTTTGTTTTGCTTATTTGCACAACAATAAGGATACAAAATAGGCAACATATGATGGGGGAAAGTTTAATTATAGAGCCAATGATGACGGAAGCCTCATTCAGAGTCCCCTGCTAGACATCTATGCTTGGTTAACAGTGTTGTTTGTCATTTAGTAATAATATAATAATAGTTTTACATTGAATATAGGAACTATGAGTGTGGTCGATAACCTTTTGTTTAATTATTTGACTAAATGTATAACGATTAATAATTAATTTTAGAGTTTGGTTAGGTAACCGTTTTTTTTATTCTGTCTCTGATTAAAAATGTAAGCGGAAGTGCTCTGTCGCCTCTTCCGTTGCGCGAAACTAAAACTTTGGCGCGCCAGACGTTGAAGACAGCTTAAAGACCACCAAGAAGATGGCTGCAAAACATTGAAACAGTCCGGTGGTTGTCACGGAACAGTACCGTAGTTAGTGAAGTCAACACTAACTCACGCAGTCCCCTGCTGTGGAGATGCAGAGAAGTTTAAAGTGTGGTAAAATAGTCTCTGTGTCGTTAGCAGAAGCCGAGGAGGCTCGCCTTCCGTTGACAACACCGTTGATCCGTTCGTTCAAAACATATCGCTAATAAACAGCTTTAGCGAAGAAACGCAGATAAATACAGACACATGGCTGTGTTTAACCAGACACCATGAACAGGACCAAACTGAAGAATACCAAGGTGAGAGTAGAGAAGCATTAACGACCTGTTTATTTCATATGAAAACATGACGAGGAATTCAACAGTAACTCTTAAAAACGCCTCTAATCAGACGGTTAGTTGTAGCAGCTGTCACCGATCATTAGACCTTTTTAGCTCAGTTCTGCTCTGCCTGGTTTGATTGCTGTGTATGAATGCAGCTTGTGTTCCCCCTTTCCAACACTGTAGTGTAAGGAAGTGGTTTGTATATAATGTGCATGAGATCCCCCCGGTGCCCAAAATAATAACAATGAGCTTAAGATGCATTTGTCAAATAATGAGCCTGAATTCAAATGAGACTTATATACAGTAGCCCTTAATACTGAACGTAATAATGAACCTACTGTCGACATTTATCACAAAGATAAAACACCTTATTGACACAGTTAAATACAAACAACAAAATGTATCAGGTTCTTAATTGCCTTTTGGATATACATGTAACTTGCATGTGTTCTGAGTCTTTTCGTGTTCATTTAGACATAAACTGTAAGATTATGACACACCCCTTTTAACTGATGACTTAAACGGAAGCTTATGTGCAGGAAGAGCTTTTCTACAGTCTGAAATGTTGCTTTCATTTCAACCATATGCTCAGTTTGACTAAAAACGAGGGTTAAAAGCACCAGTAAAATATTTCTAAATGTTTGTTTTGTTTCTGTCAGGCGCCAGGAGGGCAGAAGAACATCTTATCTTTCTTCTCCCAAAATCACCAGAAGGTACATTTTATTTTTCGTTAATTGTTTCTTTCTCATCTTTTCAATTTGTTATGATTCCTTTATTTCTATGAGTCAGTACCTTTTCTAAACATTATGTAGACATAAGTGGTTTTAATTGTTGATTATTTGGAAGATGAACAATTTGAGATATCATTAATGTTAATGTGCACATATTAGTCAAATAAAAAACCATAAACTCTATTTTTGTTTTCATGGGCAGTAAATTCTTCTTTTCTCTTAAACACCTTTTTGAAGTTGGTTCTGCTTCACTCTTCTTTTTTTAATGTTCTTTTTTATTGTGCTTTAATGCATTTCTCTTTGATTCACATAAACAGAGAATTCATTATATATTACCATTTACTAATTTGACTGTGTTGCTTTTAGGACGTGTTGTCTTCTGCAAAATTACCCGTCACTGGCACTGCACTTGCCAGGACTGAACCTCAGATCAAAGATGGCCAAACCTCCACGTCAAGACCCCACTCCCCCTTAAAGAGGAGCATCCACTGGGATCTGGAAAACATTCATCCCCTCTCCCCAGATCTCCTCCTCTTTGTCCCCGAGACCCCCGACAGTCAGATCAAGCTCTCGTCCTCTTCATCCAGTGATGGAAGTCGACTGAGCCCCCGGCCCGGCAGAGGTTTGGTGGCGGGTCTGGAGAATCTCGGCCACTTGTCACCCATCTGTCGTAGTCCCAGATCTAAAAGTCAAAGAGCACGGAGAGTCATGGGCGAGGAGGGAGGACACACAAAGAGGGAAGAGGGATGCTCAGTGAAAAGAGTCATCAGCCCTCCTCAAGAGTCTCACAATGCCAAAAGACCAAGAAATGCCAATCCAGCAAAGCCAGTTGGCCCTTTGAGGACACCTCGTTGCCCCGGTGACCAATCAGAGGGCCAGTCTGTCTCTAATGATAAGGGAAAGGTTTTAGAGGAACAGAGAAAACATCAGAAAGAGAGAGATGAAAAGGAGAAAGATACTGGTTTTACTGCGATAACGGGGCAGAAAGCAAATGGAAACCTACACACTCGTCCGGATAAAGATACTCACACTCTTTCCTGCTCACCTGCGATGCAGAGAAGTGAAGAGCCGGGAGAGTTTGACCTTAAAAGGGCAGCACGGACATCCAATGGAGACGACCCGACATCATCTGATCAGCAGCAGGCTGGAGGTAAGCTGATAGAGTTCTAATGGATCAATAGTTTATCAATACAGTGTCGTTGCAAAATTACTATTTAGCTAGTTTCTATGATAAGGTTTTATGATAATTTTTTGAACAGGGGAAAATCCAGGAATGACGTCAAGCGGTCCTTTGGAAGAGATGGTGGACGACAGCTGGTTTGATGACCTGATGGACTATAAGGAAGGTCTTGTCATAGAGGAGAAATCCAAAAAACCACGGTAAGAAACACACTGGCTGCAGAGGGGGAAGAGCATGCAACACACGGGGACTATATGCAGGTTTAAGAACTTGATTTTGTGACAGATAAGATGGTGAAAAGCTGTTTTAGTAAATCCTTTTAGTAACCTCACAGGAAAGTGAGTTTGTAACTGGAAAGTTTCCAAGGATACAAGAAATTATTCTTCAGGTGTGTCTTAGTTTTTTTGGGAAATGATGCATGACGATTTCAAAAAAACTTATCTGATATACATCCTGTCTGCTCATACAGTAAGGTGCCAGACCATGTGATTCTTTCTGGAGGACTTAACAACCGCTACTGGGTGTTAGATGTGGAGGAGAAGCCTGGCAAAAAAACCCTGACCATCACATGCTTCAAATCTCAACATCCAACTGAGACGTGTCTGCTGAAAGACGGATGGTAGGGCTCTCTGTTCTTCTGTCTGTTAACACTGTTGTTGCTATGTTGCAAGACTGTCCATCAGTTGTATGAAGTGTTCAGTCCTTTATGTGTCACTAACTTCTTCATGAGTTGATGTGATGCAATGTTCCCTGCTGAAGTCTTTGCAACATTTAAAAGTGCAGCAAGAAGTGTGCGGCCCCACCTCTATGGGCCCCACGCAAAGTAGCCCATTGTGTGTGTTGTTGTAAAAGACACCCTGAGCAATTGTATTTGAATTGCATTTCAAACCACCTTCAAAGGTGGTTTTGATCTGCAGTGCTAAAATCAATCTTGACCTGTTAGTCTAGAAAAGGCCAAATCCTTTTTTCACCGTATCGTAAATCGCTTCTTCCCTGCCCAGGTGCAGCCCAGATGTTTGGAGGAATCACTTACTTCTCAACTTTATTATAGACAGTATTTCTGTATATTTGCTTCTATGTCTTCATTATGCATATTTGTGTGTCTCTTTATATCTGTATAAAGTAGGGGTGCACCGAATGGGAAATTCTTGGCCGAAACCGATACCGAAAATAGGAAACAGTTGGCCGAAAACCGAATGCCGAAAGGCCGTAAATGATTAATAGAAATATATATATATAATGTATACATTTTTTACCAATGTTGTTCAGCTACCTGATTATGGAAAAAGACATGATTATGGCAAAACTTAACTTAAATAGTAATCACTATTATGGGTCCATAAAACATTTATTCAGCACTTTTGAATGCATACAGTACATTAATTCCAAGTCCAGTGCATTTTCTCTGTAGGATAACTACAACAAAGTGCATTCAGAACAAAGCCNAGAGTAGACATGTAGAACTAGATAAGCTTATGATAAGCCAGCCTTGTCTACTTATTAAGGAAAAGTGGGAGGTTCTTTTGAATGAACATTAGCTTCTCTGCTTTATCAGCCATAAGTCTGTTCCTCTTCTCATCAAGCACATGAGAGGCAGCGCTGAACAGTCTCTCGCTGTCAGTGCTTGTGCTTTGATCTTACTCCGCATATTTGTCCGGGTGTTTTGATTTCAAGTGGTGGAGTAATCCCGAAGTGGTGAAAGTCTTTGCAGTTACACCCCCTCTAGAAATGTCAGCTGAACACGTTTTACAAATCGCAATCCGCGCCTCTTTCTCTGATATTTTTAAATATCTCCAAGCGCCAGACATGTTGGCTGTGAGCCAGCCGCGAGCATGGTCGCGCACCGTGCTTGTCGCCGCGTTTTGATTACGTCATCACAACAACACGTTAGCTTACCAACGTAACCCTGTTCCCTGACATTCGGTGATATTTTTTCGGTGCTAAAACCCTTTCGGCCGAAAGCCGAAAGAGCCTTTTTAACCATTTTCGGCCGATAATTTTCGGCGGCCGAATATTCGGTGCATCCCTAGTATAAAGTAATAACTTGTTGTGTGTTTGCAGGGAGATGACCCCAGTGTGTTGTGGGGATGTGGTGCATCTGGAGGGGGTCTCTGACGGGGGCTCCTGGGTGGTGGGCAGGGAGCAGGGCTTCCTGGTTTTACTGCCTGACAGCCTTATCTCAGGCACCAGCATCTCGAGCTCCATCCGCTGCATGAGGCGAGCAGTACTGGCAGACATGTTCAAGGTAAGAGGATTCACTAACTATATCATCACTACCTGTGCTTTCATGTTTTTTGGACAGTACACTTACCACAATACCTCCTGCTCTCTCGTTTTCTCTCTCCCTTGATGTAGACTTTTGACGGTGGCTCCAAACAGATGCTGAATGGCACCATTGTCCATGAGGTCTTCCAGAGGGCAGCTAGAGCTAAAGACTTTTCATTGGAGACACTGACTAAAATGGCAGACCAAGCCCTATGCAGTCCTCAGTACCTGGTAGATATGTAAGTGGTTCGGTTGTACCCAATAGGCTGCTGCAGACCTTTTTCTGTGTGAAATTATAACATTTGTTGTTTTATTAAAAAACCTAACCATTAACTAAATAACATCAAAAAGGTGCTTTCCGTATTTCACTTGTTGAAATTTGTTTCTGTCTTGCTCAGTTATTTTTTTGTCTGTCATCTTTTTGTCTGTAGGTACAGTTTGGGTGTGAGTCAAGAAGAGATGAAGCAGGAACTGCATGAGTATCTGCCCTCACTGGAGCGTTGGGCAAAGCAGTACCTCAGCTCTTCATCGCCAAAAGCCATCAGCATCAAAATGTATACACACACGCACACACACACACACACACACACACACACACACACACACACACACACACACACTTTTGGGCCATTCAATATTGTTTAATCTGCCAAATATTTTCTAAATTACTTTTTTTATTCTAGAGAAATGTTGATTCAAGCTGATATCTTTTAAATATCTTGTTTTGTCAGTCCAAGTATTTTAAATATTCAGTTTAATATGACATAAAACTGAGAAAATCAGGCAATTAACATCATTTAGAGGTTGTAGTGTTTTTCTGCCATTTTTGTATTCAATAATTACTATAACAAGAAAACGACTATTCAAATATTCTTTATCGAAAGCCTTATTGATTGCTACTAAGGATTCGTCACTTTAAAGAGATGATAATCTGCCTCTTTCAATCACCTCAGCCCTAGCAACAGCAAAGCTCCAGGCAGATGTCAGGACTCGGCGATGGTTGTCACGGTAGCAGAGCTGGCAGATATAGAGGAGAATGTGTGGTCACCCAGGTTTGGTCTGAAAGGGAAAATCGACGTGACGGCACGGGTACGAATCCAAAAACCAGGAAGTGGTAGTTACAGAAGGCTGGAGGAGAAGACCATCCCCCTGGAGCTGAAAACTGGGAAAGAGTCAAACTCCATAGAGCATCGCAGTCAGGTTGGTGTTATCTCTAGATTACTTTTAACTTTGTTAGGATCGACTGATATGAAGGAATCTTGATTCTGTAAACATCTTTATGTTGAAAGCAGAAGTGCAGGACCGTATACAATATGTATGTTTCTAATATAAACATACAGGATATACAAAATAGTTATAATTGCACTGTTTCTATTATATTCTGTTTCTATTATATTCTGTTTCTATTATATTCTGTTTCTATTATATTCTGTTTCTATTATATTCTGTTTCTATTATATTCTGTTTACTTGCACTATTATCTGTTTTATTGTGTTGCACTGTTGGAGGAGCCTGTGACCTAAGATTGTCATTGTCATAACTACACTGTAGCTATGTACGTATGACCAATAAAAGCCTTGAAACCTTGAAAACCTTGAATAAGTCTTTTGTATGTGTGTGTGTGTGTGTGTGTAGGTGATTCTTTACACTCTGATGAGCTTGGAGAGATACAATTCTGAAGCTGGCTTCCTGCTCTACCTGAAGACTGGCAACCTGCACCCTGTGGTGGCCGGCCACATGGACCGCAGAGGTACGGTCCACACACACGTTTACAACCTGCCCAACACCAGCTGTTTACAATAATGTTAAAACATCTTTCTATTTCATTAATTATTGTACAATCCTTTCTTAAATGTATGATTGTATTCTCTCTAGGGGTGTCACAATGAATATGTATGTATCATATATTCATCACTTAATCAAATCATTATTTGTGTGTGGAGCGTTGGAAGAAGCAAACAGGAAATGATTTAAGAGTGCCATGATATTTTTAAACGATATTATCATACGTGTATTATTTTACCACCACAACCTTAATTTACAATCACATTTTGTTTGCTTGAAATGATGATTAATCCACAGCAGCATCTCCTTCATCACCTTTTATGCTGAACTCTGTTTGTCTCAGAGCTGCTGAAGCTGAGGAACACTTTGGTTCATCACATTCACAACTGTGTGAAGAAAGAGGCGAAGCGGAGCCGTTTGACTCGACTTCCTGACATCCTGACCGACAGGCAAACCTGCCAGTACTGTCCTCAGCAGAGAAACTGTGCTTTATATGAAAGGTAAGCTTTCTTTCTCATTATTCTCACAACTTCCTGTCTTATTGCCCATTTCCTCCTTCTCTACTTCTTCCTGTATTGGATTGCATCTATCTTTGTGTATTTCTAATTGTGCGACTGAACTTAAACTGTCCTCTCTCTACCTTCAGGTCTCTTGACGGCAGCTCTGCAGACGACTGTGAGGACCTTGTGCGTGACTTCCTCCAGAAGGAGACGGGTCACCTGATCCCACCTCATCTAAGCTATTTTTCCCACTGGCTGCTGCTCTGCTGCCTTGAGGCTGGCACCATGGAGGCCAAGAACGGCAGAAAGCGTGTGTGGCTTGAGAAGCCTGAGGAGAGGTAAAAAGACATGTAAACACTTCCATTACAATCAACACCTGCCTTAAAACCATACTGTATTCTACTTAATATGCATCCTTTGCTTTTTCCGCTCTGTTTTTCCAGTGAGAAGAATGGGAGCTGTGTGGGGAATGTGCAGCTGAGCGGCCCGGTGACCGTGCGGTCTGAAGGGGTTTTCCTCCATAGCTTCCAGAGAAGCAGCGCAGTGCCACAGAAGGGTTTGGCCAGCAGCGGGTTGGCCAGCGGAGATCGTATCGTTGTTAGCGACCAGGAAGGTCGTCTGGTTGGTTTAGCAACAGGATACCTGTGTGAGGTCAGCAGGACATCGATCAGCTGCACTCTGGACAGGTGAAAACAAACCCTCATAAAGAGATTAAGTCCCACCCCTTCTGTGGGAGAAAACTATTTACTTCTCTCCATCAGTGGTTGCGTTAGACTTTTTCGTTGTCGGACAGGATCGTAACATTTCCGTCATAATCCATTATTACCCGTCATTTTATTTTTCATGTTTAATGATGAGAGATATTTAATATTTATGTTTGGGTAAAAAGAAAAAGATGAACTGAGACACCGACCGTGCGGTCACTTTTCATGTCAAAACGAATATGAATGATTTATTTTTCCTCGCCACCTGCTTGTTCCTCTGCTGCTGGCTGAACGTCGTCAGTTTTAGTCTTACTGGCTTGTCCTTCATCCTCCACCGCATCAATCCCTCTTTTCTCACCTCGTTTATCCACACCATCACAATTACTGGGCTTATTAAAAAAGCTTCGGACACTCAGCTGCCGTGACATTTTGCGATTGCTATAGCCGGTTAAACAACGAGGTAATCAACGAGGTCAAATACAAGCACTAGACATATCTGCTTATTATGCACACACTCGCCACCAACTGGACAAGGGTGTGAATGACTAAATAATAGTTACAGTAGATCGCCCTCAGTCGACCTGGCCACTAAGGATGTAATACAAGTGGCCGCTGGTGGACATTTTGGCGCTCTTCCGAGTTGTGTTCTAATCTGTCAAAATGACGGACTGCTTTCAGATTTTTCCGTCATTCTTGGAAAAATTCCGTCATAGACGGAAAATATTCGGTTAACGCGACCTCTGCTCTCCATCGACTCTGGATTGTGTGAAGCTTACTTGTCTAATCTGTAGGCCAGCAAAAAACAGAAAAATGCTTTGAAGATGCTGTGTGGTGGGATGCACTACCAACACAGCAAAGAACCCAGATTTCAGTTTTTATAAGCTCCAAAACACAAAGTTTAAGGGCATTTCTGCCCTTATTTGCATAATCTGGTGCTAATTGATTTCCCTTGGGCGCAGATTCGAATATTTGTCCGTTCTCGCTCTCTCTAAACATGTTTGCTGAAGTATATTTCAACCAAAGATGGACTATAGGACAGTCAATAGTTGGACTTTTCCTTTACAATCTGCTCATTTCAAAGTCAATAACCTGATGAACACCTGTTTTGCTGTTCATTGTGTTTACTAGAGACCTGTCTAAGTTCAGTGGTGTGTTGTTTCGATTGGACGCTGATGAAGGTGTGGTGGGTCTCAGCACTCACCTCACCAATCTCTCCAGACTGATGGTAAACAGTGAGGACAGGTAGGCACAGCAAAATGCAACAATGCAAAGTTATCATGGCATAGTCTGTATGTAGGAAATGAACTTGGTGACATTGAAGATGATGGCGTACTGCATTTTATATTTGCAGTGATCGTCTGAGGGAGCTTGTCGTTGACCTTCGTCCTCCAGAGTTTATTTCCAACCTCAGCTCTGTTCTGCCAAGAGAGTCCAAGGACACTGTGGCCAACATCCTCAAAGGTGAGACAGATATTCTGTAACCTGCTCTGTTCTTCCACGCTGCCTGTCTCATTATTTATTACATTTAGCTTTACTTTCAGTTATTGTAGGGTAACCATTTATTCCCAAAAACTGCACAGTTATAGTTTCATACTTTTTAAGTTGAACCTTTTCTAACATTTAATAAATTATGAATGACTTTCTTACATGAAGACAATAGAGAATGCCTGTCGGTTCAATGGATGCATTTGTGTGATTGTGTGTAGGTCTCAACAAACCCCAGAAGCAGGCCATGAAGAAGGTGTTGTTATCTAAAGACTACACGCTGATCGTCGGCATGCCAGGCACGGGCAAAACCACAACCATCTGCACCCTGGTAAACTCCTAACCACAACCTGTAAACTGAGACGGAAAGGATCTCCTTCCCAGTGAGAACAGAGCTCTTACTCTCTCTTCTCCACCTCTCTGTACTTTTTCAGGTTCGCATCCTTCACGCGTGTGGGTTCAGCGTGTTGCTGACCAGCTACACCCACTCTGCTGTTGACAACATCCTGCTGAAGTTAAAGCGTTTCCGTGTTGGATTTCTGCGTCTTGGGCAAGGGCTGAAGGTGGGCTGTTTGACATCTGTTATTCAGTAAAGTACGAAAAATAGGTCAAAATTAACTTGACCTTATCGTCATGGTGTCAAGGAAAGATGTGAAGGACAATTCATAAGGACTTCAGAATAAGGCAACCAAGGTGCTAAGAGATTCTGACCCGACAAGTCTACGTACATTTGCGGAAAGTGGATTTTAATGACGTGAGTCTGACATGGAGATGCAACAAGACATTGTGGGATCGCATTATCCCCCTTTTTTTTGTTAAGGATTGGTGAAGTATACTCCATGCTAAATGCCATTAGGAAATAATACAAACCGCTCTCATCATGGCTGCCACTAAAGATGCTGCTTGGTCATTTCATCCTAAGCAAAAAACAGTGTTGAATCGCAGCCTGCAACTCTTTATTTAGAACCCTCTGGCTTGCTCTGATTGTTCTCTTGTTTCTGCTGCGCTCTCCAGGTTCATCCAGACATCCTGCCTTACACAGAGGAAAGTGCGAGAAAGAAGGGAGTTAAATCTCTGTCTGAGTTGGAGCAGCTTTATAACAAGGAGGTGAGGAGTTTGTTTATAGAATATTTTTACAATTTCTTCTTTGCAACAGCTTTAACTGACTTTATGTAAACATCATAATACAAAAAAAAAAAGCTCTTCCATAAAGTGAGTTATTCTTTTTACCATTCATAACAATCCTGTCTCTCTATCTGTGTCTTTCTGTCTAGCTGGTAGTGGCAACCACCTGTATGGGCATCAAGCATCCCATATTCACACGTCGGCGGTTTGATTTCTGCATCATAGACGAGGCTTCACAGATCAGCCAGCCGATCTGTCTGGGACCGCTGCTCTACGCCAAGAGATTCGTCCTGGTTGGAGATCACCAACAGCTGCCACCAATAGTGCAAAATCAGGAGGCCAGGTAAAGTGTGTGCATGTAAAACAATACAAAAATACTGTGTTAATAACATTTATTTAAGTTAGGAGTGTCAAACTCAATTTCATCGCGGGCCACATTCCCATAAAGGTTGCACTCAAAGGGCCGGTTGTAACTATATAAATGGATTATATTACATTATTGCCTCTGAATTTGATTATTATCGGATAGGATAATAACTTAGTAATTAACTACGTCTGAAAGCAGAAGTCCAGGGCAAATAATTGCAAGTCTCTTCAGCACACATGTCACAAAACGAGATGCATTGTGGGACATGTCGTTTATGGGCAACGTGCTTCTGTAAAGTGGCATGTAACCGTATAATAAACGTATTATATTCTTTGCAAGCTCTTGCGGGGCCGCATAAAATGAAGTCGCGGGCCGGATTTGGCCCCCGGGCCTTGAGTTTGACACCCCTGATTTAAGTTATTTGTCTTTTATAAAGTTAAAACATGAGAAATGTTTTGACATTAAGTTAAGGTCAAGCTTCAACATGTGAGTTTGGGAGTTAATATAAACAACAGTTTTACTTTTCTTTCTTTTCCTCCAGGTCACTTGGCATGGATGAAAGTCTATTTAAACGACTTGAGCTCCATGATGAAGCAGTGGTCCAACTCAATGTACAGTACCGGATGAATAGGTACAAATGCAATCACAGACAACAATGCTTGCTTCAATAATATGTTCCTGTTTATTTGTTGTGAATATAATTTGATTTTAAGATAAACTGGTAATGCTTGCTTTAGCATTGAAAAGAAAATATTAATCTGACAACTTTAGAAACACATGGCAAAAGTGACAAACAAACAATCCCACAATAATCAACAGTGTGTGTGTGCGCTCTGTGTTTCCAGGCAGATCATGTCTCTCAGTAACTCCCTGATGTATGAGGGCCGTCTGGAGTGTGGATCAGAGAGGACGGCCTCGTCCCTGCTCACTCTGCCCTTCCTGCTGTCCGTCCAATCAGAGCTCAGTGCGTACGCTGAGACTCATCCAGAGCTCGACCTGGCTTGGATACAAAACACGTTGCTGCCCAGCCACCCTGTCTGCTTCCTGGATTGCTCCATGGTGCGTGGAATATACAGTGCACGTCAAGCAGAAGCTATTGATATTTCACAAGAATATTTAAGCTTTTAATAAAGGTGCTAGTTAGTTTTAATTTGTCTAAAGCTTCTGTGAATGTCATGCAGCATACAAATGACTTCTGTTACGATAGTCAAGCATCTTCCATCGAGATAGTTTTGTACTCAAATGTTTGGATGCGCCTTAAAGAGGTTTTCATAGACACATTTGGCTATTTTTTGTAAACGCAACAATAAAGCCTTGATTTGTTCTGCTTCTTGGTAAAGGTCAAGCTGCTTTGACTGTAAAATAAAGTAATTTACATGAAACAATATTGCTCTTTTTAATAGGGCTGTTATCGTGAGAAAAAGAACCAAGGTGTGCTAATCAACATCTTGTTTTTCTCCACTGCTTAATGTAGGTGCCAGCACTGGAGTCTGTGGAGCAGGGAGGCGTCAGCAACCACACCGAGGCGGCTCTCATTCACAAGCTGCTGTCACTGCTCATAAAGGTACATCAGTTTCCCAAGTGGTGCTCAAGTTTTGATACGGCTAGTTATCTTGCTAACCCCTGGATATTTAACTTTTCTCCAGGCGGGTTGTAAGCCCAGTGATATTGGTGTGATCGCCCCCTACAGACAGCAGCTTAAGAGTATCTCTGCTCTGCTGCTGTCCCCTGCGTTCGCCGGTGTGGAGGTGAATACAGTCGACAGATACCAAGGACGAGACAAAAGTCTGATCGTTTTTTCTTTTGTCAGGAGCACTTCAGAGGATGGAAATGTAAGTGCTTCTCACTCCATTTCCCTTTTTTTAACTTTTTTTCCTCTTCTCTGTGCCACAAAATGTGCATCAGTCGACAAGCATATGAACAGGAGAGAAGTATCTGAATGATAACCTCTATCTGCTGCCTCTCCTTTCCTAGTTAGGAGAGCTGTTGAAGGACTGGCGTCGCCTGAACGTAGCCATCACCAGGGCGAAACACAAGCTGCTGATGGTGGGCTCGATCTCAACGCTGCGACGCTACGCACCTGTGGAGAAACTCCTCAACCATCTCCAGCAAGAGAACATGATATCCTTTATTAACATAATACATGGATATTTAATTACTCTACAATGAAGCTACTGTTAGCATTAGCGCTAATACATGGATTCCAAAAATTGCAACATTTAGTCAGTGCTGTAAATTAGAATTAAGCCTAATTGCTGGCCGGCTTATTGAAGTGTCCAAAAGTGACACCAATTCAATAAAAAAATGGATCAGGATTTTTTTTAAATGGCCAATCTGTTTCTGAATATTTTAGAATCGGTAGGTTTTAAAAATCTACATATACGTACATTTTTTATGCCAGATGTTTAGTTTTATAATAATACATGTATCAATACATTTGGCCACATTTCCTCTTTGTTGTTGTTGTCGATGTATTTTGTGTCTACACAATGTTTTCCTGAACCTTTACTTCACGTTATCCAGCTCCCTCCAGCAGCCCACATGGCTTTACAAAGCATGTCCCTGTGAAAGAGTCTCTGAAGACATGGTGGTGTTTTCAGAGCGCCGATGTGTCTCAGTGGAGCAGCCTGTCGCTGTGGATCAACTCAACAGGGCAGAGGTTGAATGCCAATCTGCAAATGCACTCAATGACCTGGAGGCTGAGATCAGTTGTCAACAATTCAAAACCTACTTATAGCTACACTGTCAATATTTGAAACAAAAATAACATTCCACTAAAAGTTTAACAATGTATAACCGATACATTAATCAACACACTAGGACAAGCTGAGGAAACCAGGCTTTTTAATTAGTCTCTATTGCCTAAAGCACTTGGAAACTCTGGTGTCTTTGTTGTATACCATTTTTTAAATATTGAAGCATTTTGTGTCGATAAATGTTCCGTTTTGGCTCTAAACATTCATACTGATACAAGTAGAAGGGAAATAGCAAGACCTCATAGAGACTTTTAGACTTCAGCTGTAATTCTTTGCTGATTCCTTTAAAAATACAATATACGCTAAGAGTACTCCAATATCAAGTGTGTCAATATTTAATGTCTATGGTGTGAAACAAGGTACTTTTAAAATAGCTAAAGAGTAGAGCATCTGTAACATGGTGGAAAAGTTCAAATGTATTGAACTGAAACTGTTTGGATGACTTTACGGTGCATCAAACCTCAACTAGGACTGATCAGGATTCATAGACTCAGATATTGGTGTTCAAATACCTCCGTCAATACACTGTGACAATAATTAAGACTTCATTGTCGGTACTTTCTCTAAACTTTTCCACACACAACACAGTAATTCATTCTTAATGTGAACAGGACCGAACATCTTACAGTTCATCAGTCAGATAAGCTCAGATATGTCAACTAATCCGTTAACTGAAACGCGGTCTGGAGGAGGAAAAACTAGACTGAAAAATAGTGAAGCTACATCACACAAATATATTAAGATGAGTCATTTTCAGTCCTAAATGAAACATTTTGCTGTCATTTCTTATTTTGTGGTGGTCACTGGACTTTATTCACACTTGATGAGAAATATTGCATCAACAGTACTCTGTTTTATTCTGTGAATAGACTTAACTGGACTTGAAGTATAAATAACAAACTGATATAAATCAATAATCATTATTTAGTCTTTATCGAGCAGCTTTAAATGTTATACTGTTTTATAGAAAGAGCTTATTTTAGTCAATTCCTTTGTGTTCATCTGAATGCAAACCTAATGCTGCGAAACTTTACAAAGGAAACTGCCTGGTACCATGACAACCAGAAAACCTCAAGGAGTGTGTAGGAAATCACAATGTAATGTTCATATGTAACCTGATGCTGACAAACTCTGAAGATTCAACTGATGACAGATTTTTTTAATACATATTATTAGAGCAAGTCAGAGAACATCCCGACCCAAGCCAACTGTGATTCTACCGTTGATCTGTTTTTCACCCAATACACCCTCTGATTTTACGTGTTCTCACTGTTTTTTTACTTTTTTAATTTTGTAAATAAAGAAAATAAATACTATCAAAGTGTGAATTGTTTTTTCAATCCTGTCAGATGTTAAATTAGATTGACCAGACTTGACACAAATTTGCATTGCTTTTTATTTAAACCATGTCTTGTTGCTTTTGATAACATCGTACAAAGCATCCGTCTGCTTCTCTGAGCAGGCACATGATGATTTGTCCCATCACCCCCTGCTCTCATTAGCCTGCATGTGGCTATAGTGTGATTGTTCCCTGCAGCACAGTGACGGCCTGTCCAGCGATGTTGATTCTTCCGTCGTCTCTCACTTCTAGTTCCAGCTCCCCGCCTCGACTGGAGCACTGGTAAGCTGCACAAACACAGAGCGGAGAATATGAGTGTCAGCATGATTCAGCTGAATAATAAAGGGCTGTTTAACTTGATAACAGGTGGTGTTTATTACTATAATAACACATTGTTGAATGGTTGGTCAAATTGTTGCCTCTATGGGTTGGTTAAATTACATTTGTTTTAGAGATGCTGATCAAAGTGAATGTGAAATTAGTTTAAATTAATTACCCAGCATTTTCTTCTTTCCTAGTTCCTTAGACCAGTAACCACCCAGCACTGTGTGGGCAGAACCTGCGGAGAGACAAAACCGGATAAAACATTTCCAAAGACACATGTAGTGTTTAGCCCATACCTGTTGCTTGTATACCAATGGCTTGGATTACTTGATTATAAGAGTATTTTACAATGTTGCCCCATACACACACTGCAGGCCAACTAAGTCAGATTGTGTGATTCCAGGGGAAACAGCAGCAGTAGAAGTGTTTGTAGTTTTAATGTTTGTGTACCAGTCACAGGATCCTCAGCGATGCCCATCCATGGAGCAAAGTATCTGGAGTAGAAGTCGTATCCTGACTGGCAGTCTGGGGATCCTATTGGTGGATAATGAAGAACGATTTGATTACCATCGCTTGTAGTTTTCACACAGGGCTCGTCTCGATAGTGTTCTTTTACCATATCATATTTGTTGACTTGGTATATTCCAGGTCCTTAGAAGTATGATACTTTACTTGATCATTTCTATTTTCTTCTACTTTCATAGTCTTTAAAACTACATTTCAAAGGCTAATTGTTCTTTACACTCCACTAAACTTATTTGATAGCTTAAGTTAGTAGCTTTTTATCAATATAAAATCAAATTAACAAATGACGGTATTATATCAATTTCAAACCTTTATTTAACCAGGTGGTCCCATTGAGATCATCGATCTCTTTTTCAAGGGAGACCTGCAATAAGAATGTATTGATCCCCAAGCTACCCAGTAGTATATAAACTAAAATACAAATACATTTCAAATATGCCAACAATTACCAGTTCAAAATATGTTATTGTACAATTATTTTACAGTAATATATTAGAAGAATGTACGATAGGCTATGATTCCGAAACTGGCAATTCTGCACATACATACACATTATTCTGCATAATGTGTATTTTTACTTTAAGCACTTAAAAGTTATTTTGATGCTACTACTTCTGTACTTTTTCTTGTGAGAATAATAAATGCAGGACTCTCACTAGAGTACTCTTACACTGTGCTATAACTACTTTTAATTTAAGTATAATATGATCGTGTCAACCACTCACAGTGAGATGCAACATAAAGACAAAATAAAAAAGTCTGATTTAAAATAGTTTAGCATGGCATTTTAGGTAATCTATTACTTATATCTTAAAATAGTCTGCATATCTTTGGAACTACTTTATATTTAAGATTACAGCATGTGGTCCGGCCCAACAAATCATAAAACTAAAGACTAACCAAAGGATCTAATGTTTTAAAGCTCCGGTTACCTCTCATGGTGACGATTAGTCCTTTGACTCTTCCACTCGTCTCACTTCTCTGAAGAGCAGCAGCGTCAACTTTCAGACTGGTGAGCACTGACCTGCAGGAAACACATGCAGCACAAAGGAAGAGTCACAAACAAACCTGGCAACATGCAAATAGAGTGTGTGTGTGTGTGTGTGTGTGTGTGTGTGTGTGTGTGTGTGTGTGTGTGTGTGTGTGTGTGTGTGTGTGTGTGTGTGTGTGTGTGGGTGTGTGTGTGTGTGGTAACCTTTCACAGCTGTCAGACAGTCGAACCAACAGTTTCTTAGTGATGGGGCACAGATAAACATCCTGGATTGGGTTGTTTCCAACTGCAGCCTGAAGGGGAAGAAGAAAATAATGTGCACACAAGTTAAGTAGTTAATGTAGACCGTGAAGCAGGAGTCTACTGTAAAGCATATTCTCTTAGAGTAGACGTCTCACTTACCTTTAAGATGTCTTTGAACTCATTGGCATCCTGAGAAAACAGGTGTTTAGAAGAAAATTAAGTTTGAATAATTGTGTTATTAATTACTGCATTGCAAAGGATACTGAAAAGACTTTCTTCTGAAAAACTTTGCACTGCTAGTCCAGGATGTTTTTGTTGCATTCTGGGTTTAAAAAAACCAAAACACAGTTCTAGCATTCACCACTTATAAAGGTTGATGTTAGCTATTGTGCCTTTTTTTCATTTACTTTTAACAAATTGGATTTGCTTATTTTGATAAGTGATATATTATTGAAGTTTACTAACTAACCTGCTTTGTTGGTGGGTTGAGAGGAAAGTCCATGACGTACCCTTCCCCCCGCTGCGTGACAGCCAGATCTCCACTCCTCGTCTCAAACACCAGTTTGGGATTCACATTCTCTAAGAGAGAAATACATAAAAAGGTTATAAATGGAAGTTAATCTGATGATCTGTATACATGTTTGTTTGTTTTTTGGTAACTTACCCTTATGTTTGAACAGCACTGCTGCAGATGCCAGAGTTGCATGACCGCACAGATTCACTTCAGTCGTTGGTGTGAACCATCGCAGTCGGAACCTTGATCCTGTTAATCACATTGTCAGACCGGTGCTTTTTGTGTAAACATATCCCTCCACAGAGGTGCTTTCTATAAGAGTATGAAGAGGGAAACAGTTTGCTTGAAATTAAGTACAGTGTTGTGACATTGTCCTGTGTCTGCTTTGCTTTATGCACTGTACTCTCAGCTACACAGTTTAAAAAGTTGCTCCCTTAACACATTTTTTACAGTATTCCGTATGAATGGGTACATTACCATAAAACTGTGCACAATGGACACTGTGATTATTACTGTAGAGGCACTTTTACATTGGCCACTGGCAGATATGTGCATCTTTATTGCTTCATCCCCATTCAACCAGTCTCAATAACAATGCATGAGTTGTTAAACAATGGGTTGATGATTGTAATGAAATGCTAACCTGTCCCAGACTGGTGCATCTTTTAATCCATAAAACAAATCTTAAATCCTACATGTATTAAAATGTTTATCTGACCTGTGGTAAAATTGTCAGACGGGTTGATGCTGGTGATGAAAGCTGTTTCCGACAGGTTCATCTCTGCTGCTATCTTCTTATACAAGTCATCTGTCAGTTCCTGTTTAAAAAACAGTGATTGTTGAAACAAATTGTAACAATAATTAAACACTGAGGTAGGCTACATGATCATGGATGGATTGATAAGAAACACATGTATGTCATGCTGCGTAATTTATACCTTTTTTATGAATTTATGTGCTACTAAAACTGGAACTCTATATGTCCAAATAATCAAAAAGTTACAAGGAGCAGTCTGATCCTTGAACAAAAAAGAAATGATATGCACAATTTAGAAACAGCATGTTGAAGTGTCTTTACGTCCTTATCAACCCTATTGCAACAACTTATACGATATGCATGGCATTATGACATTAATGTAGACCTACTTTTACCTAAATATTATTACTCACATGCATAAGTGGACAAATTGCAGCGGGATTTCCCCTAAACGGTAGATTAGAAAAGGCATCTACGGTAAATACTGGAATCTCCATTATGATAAGACTAAACACGAGAAGGACTTGCAGCTTAAATCGTCTTTAGGACAATGTGGTTTCCCACAGTTGACCTGCTGCAGTCGGTGGACTTTACGCCCTGATTGTTTGTTTTCCGCGTCACGTGTTTTCCAGACTGTCATCGAAGCATGACTAATCTTCTTCAGGCATAAAATGTTTGTCTGGTGTCAGAATCTACTTGTCATAAGACGAGTAAAACAATTCATACATTGTGTTAAAAAAGCCATTTTGATCAGAGGTGGAAAAGTTATAATCAAAAGTTACATAAAAATGAGCTTGAAGTTATAGCCTATTGGCCTGGTAAATGTTTATGTTTCTGCTGCTATGTTTCTTTATGCTCCTAATGTTTCTCATTTTTAGTAAAGCACTTTGAAATGCCTTGTATTGAAATGTGCTGTATAAATAAACGTGCCTCCATTAGAAATAAACATCGTTATTTGTTGTGTTATGAGCACATTCATGCCTAAAATATCAATTTAGCCTAATGGCGTCCTATTGCTATTATTAAATATATATAGTATAAAAAAGACTCAAACTTCATCTCCTTTTTTTCTTTGTCCAACTCTCGCGAGAACATACCTGAGCTGGTTTGCTCGTTAGTGACACCTGCCTGAGGCTCGGGATAGGGGCAGGAGACCGGGGACGAGAGGCGACTGTGAGATAATTTCATCGTTTTCACACATTTGTCACTCACTTCTGACACAGTGATGTGTGCTTGTGGATGTTTATTTTGATGCTCAGTGACAGCGTTAGACCGTTGGGTGAAGAACTAGTGTGCCCTGTACGTTTGACCGCTGTCAGTGGCCTACAGTTAGCCGTAGCTGCTAGCCTGCTAGCTGCTAACATTTGCAGCCTGACAGAAAAGAGGCGTTAGCATCATTAGAGCACCCGGGCGGACACATACTCTCCTGTTGGGGCCTTCAAACAACCAATTTTACCAAATAATTGCTAAACGTCTTGTTTGGATATGTTTGGAAATCTCAACGTAAGTTAAGTTGAACTTTGGTTACGTTAGCTAGCAACACGTTGAGACAACAGAGTTGGAAAGAGGAAGTGACAAATGTTAGCTTGTTTTAGACTGTGTTGACAGCTGCAGTGA